GGATGTAGAGTGGTAGGAGGAAAGAGGAGAGGTTGTGGGGTTAGGGGGAGGAAAGAGAGGGAAAGTGGATAAGGGTGGAGGCAAGGCGGAGACTGCCGGGAGTATTCGGAAATATTTTGAGTAAAAATCTTTTTTCTTTTGTGGTGTTTGTAGATGCATCATTTGTATTTGTTGTTTAATTCAAAATAATAAAAATTTTTATATATATATAAAAAAAAAAATCTAGTAAAAGCCTGGAGAGTGGATCAAGCTAAATATAGCTGTGAAATCCTTTGTTATGGCTGATGCTAAAGAACGTGCCACATGATTAGTAACAAATTCAGACAAAAGTATCCATGCTGATCCTAGCTCTTCTTAAATAGATGTCAGTTGGAAGGGACCTTGGAGATCTTCTAGTCCACCCCCTGCTCAGGCAGGAAACCCTAACCCAGTGGTGGCAAACCTATGGCACGGGTGCCAGAGGCAGCACTCAGAGCCCTCTCTGTGGGCACTCGCATCGTCGTCCCAGTCCTAGGCCTTCAGTTGGGTTTTATAAAACCTTTTCGCTTTAGGCCTCTGTCGCCATGTGCAAAAAAAAAAAGGTTCAATCAGTCAATTTTAACTTCTTGCGGGGAAAAAAAAGATCTTGCAAAGTTGGAATTGATTGATTGAACTTTTTAGTCCCACCCAGTCTGCCATTACCACCGCAGCCACGCCCACCCAATGGGCCACACCCACCTGGCACTCCACGATGCATAAGTGGGTTTTGGGTTGCAATTTGGGCACTCGATCTCTAAAAGGTTCTCCATCACTGCCCTAACCCATTTCAGACAAATGGCTGTCCAGTCTCTTCTTAAAAGTCTCCAGTGATGGAGCACCCACAATTTCTGGAGGCCAGTCTTTCCACTGATTAATTGTTCTGTTAGGAAATTTCTCCTTAGTTCTAGGTCAGAGGTCTCCAACCTTTCTGGGCTTTTGCAAACGGGGCCACAGGCGCTAATGCAAGTGGGGAAGAACGTGCACCCACACATGTGATCACTGGCCAGCCATTTCTGCAGCCCACTGGCCAAGAGCCGGGACCGGGGCTGCAGCCCATAGATTGGAGACTCCTGTTCTAGGTTGCTTCTCTCCTTGATTAGTTTCCATCCATTCTTCTTATTCTGACTTCAGGTACTCTGGAGAATAGGTCGACCCCCCTCTTCTCTGTGGCAGCCCCTCAAATATTGGAACACTGCTGTCATGTCACCCCTAGTCCTTCTTTTCTTTAAACTAGACATACCCAATTCCAGCAACCATTCCTTATGTTTTAGCCTCTAGTTCTCTGATCATCTTTGTTGCTCTTCTCTGCACTCTTTCTAGAGTCTCAACATCTTTTTTACATCGTGGCGACCAAAACTGGATGCCGTATTCCAAGTGTGGCCTTACCAAGGCATTATAAAGTGATATTAACACCCCATCAGTTGAATGTCAAGGGAAAAAGTGACCAAGTCCCCAGGCCTGGGGTCGGCATGGGTGTGATTTGTCAAGCTCCTGTTGTATGGCTTTTTGTACTGTTTGTGGTTTTAATCCTGGCTGCCTATGTGGGCTTTAATGATTTATTTTTAATAAGTTTTTTTATGCCACTCAGAATCTTTTGGAATGGACAGCTATATCAAATTGAATAAATTAAGTTGTAAGCAAGTACAGTTGCTCCTTATTCAAACAATTCACGAAGTTAGGGCTCACCTAATGTCCATTAGATTAGGAGGCCATTCCAGAGGGCCAGTTGCTATCACGAAGTGCCACCTCCCGGTCTTACCCCCCAGGACCTCCCAATAGTGGGACTCCACCAGCTGCTATTTCAGCTTGATCAAATGGGTTGGGCCAATTGTAGCTGCT